CAGCATGCAGTCACTAATTTCAACCTTGTAAATACGAACTGTTTAAACACTTCTCTTAGCTATATAACTAGCATTGTTATATAGCTTTTCTACATTGTATTATACATATGGTTTTTCTGTAGTGTAACATAAACCTATACATAAACGATATTATTCCACAACGATATAAATTGTCATGAGACAGATTGTAAAAATCTAAAAAAAAATATTTGCATATTTCTATTTTGAATTATATACAATTTAATTATATACATATGATATTAATAATGATATTATAGATGTATTATATATGATAATTATTTATATACAGATATGATATTAATAATGATATTATATATATTATATATGATAACTATTTATATACAGATATGATATTAATAATGATATTATAGATGTATTATATATGATAATTATTTATATACAGATATGATATTAATAATGATATTATAGATGAATTATATATGATAATTATTTATATACAGATATGATATTAATAATGATATTATAGATATATTATATATGATAATTATTTATATACAGATATGATATTTCTAATGATATTATATATATTATATATGATAACTATTTATATACAGATATGATATTAATAATGATATTATAGATGTATTATATATGATAATTATTTATATACAGATATGATATTAATAATGATATTATAGATGAATTATATATGATAATTATTTATATACAGATATGATATTAATAATGATATTATAGATATATTATATATGATAATTATTTATATACAGATATGATGTTTCGTCGAGTTTTCGACCAAATATCGCCAAAAACGTAAAAGTTACTTCCACCCAATAATTCTTCGCAGCGCGGCGCAGCAATGGAAAAGTTTCGCGTACCTAGCACGAAGAGTTTTGCGCTCGGCCTCTGGGAGAGGCTTCGATTTTACGCAATAATTTTTCTACTTTTTCCGGCGATCGCTGGGCGAGCGAAGCGCGGAACGAAAATATAATAGCAAGCGCGGTGTGCTCGCTGGCGTAGAGGTAGGCGAGCGCAGTGCGATTAGGTCGCCGCGCCGGACGAAACGGCGCGGCGCGAAGCGCAGAGGCATTCGAAAGTGGCCGGGGCCTCGTACGACACGACAACGCAATTGCGTGTGCACAGATCATTGACTCCGACCACGCAACAATCCCCGGCTGCGATCCTGACCACGTAAACATTGTGCAACAAAACCCAATGACCCGTGAGTACACGATTGTTCAACAATTAAAGTTGCTTTTTCGCGGCAGACGTGTCGACACGACGCCGCGCCGCGGACCTTCCTACGCGAGCCATTGGGCCCAACAACGACCGATTTCCTGGGCCGGCGTTCCCGCGAATTTCGCAATCGCTTATCCGCGCACTCCACTTTTCCCGGGGAGATAATCTATAAGGGTATCCTTGAATCGTGTCGCTTTTATAAATCATTTCGCGCCGCGACAGAATGAGGACTCCTGGACTAGTTCGAGCGCATTATTTCGTGGAACAATTAAAGACGCGGCTCTGTGCACGTGCACGTAAATCAAATCCACGAAATAATGGCACGATAGATAATGCGATGGAAAGTTGACTCGGTTCTTTTCGATACAATGGACTAGTTAGAGCGCGTTATTTAGCGCGGCAGTTAATCAGCGAGACGTAATAAACCACGTTCGCGCGCGTAATGCATGTACGGATGTCTGAAGTTGTGAAAACAGTGCATCATATAATATGGAACATTAACTTTGCAGAAATTAGATATATTTCTCGGGCATTTTGTAACGCTTGCAACGATCGCATGCCAATGTAATGTAAACTGAATACGATGCGCATTCTTATGCACAATAACATCTTTTTGGTTCATGTAATTCTCCTTTTATTAATTTTGATCGATTAAAGGGAATGCGACACGCTTCAGCATCTTCGTTGTTTGCTGCATCGCATAGTTAATTTTATTATACAGGTGTGGTATTATGCAGTACAGTTACTCGCAAAATTGTGCATACACCGTTTAAAACGTAATAGCTTTTTTAGAACTGGTCTAAGTGACTTGAATTTTTTAGATGACAGAGGAATCAGTCTACTAGACAATGACTAAAATGCCTTTTTTCAATTCTGTTATTATTTGAGATGACCAAAAAAATAAAAAACTGTTTTTTTAACTTTTACATCCGAGCCTATAACAAAATTTAAAAAATGCCTTAGTTAAATCCCTTGTTAATCCAGAGTCGAATTACAGGCGTTGTAGGATGTAAAAAACGTTGCAGACTTCTTCCAGTTTTTGGTCAAAATAATGATAAAACTGCGATATTTGCCATCTTGAATTTGTTGTAACTCATAACAACGTCAAATGATTTCGATAAAATTTTCAGCATGCATATAAGTTACCAAGATCTTTTAAATTTAATTTCGTTAAAAAACGAAAGCTTTTTATTGCTTTTTGTCATTCCAAGTAATAGCAAAATTTAAAAAAATAACATTTTTGTCATCGTCTAGTAGACTACTTCCGCTGTCATCTAAAAAAAATTCAAGTAACTCAGTCGAGTTTAAAAAAAAATTATTGCGTTTTAAAAGGTGTACGCTTAATTTTGCGAGTAACTATGTGTGCACATCTAATCCACAATCTAACGATCGCAAAATTCAAAGATACAGATCACAACGATGACCATATAATTTAATATGGATATGAATATAACGAACAATTAATTGTGCTACTTGAAACCGCTTAGAACGAGAAATCAATGTTTATACAGGAGTCCAGTACACAATTGCACATGCAATCAAATTCTGCAGAATAAATTTTCAGTACTAGATTTGATTTAGTTTCGTGAGAAGATATTGATCCTGACACGATCGCTAATTACAACGAAACAGAGATTCTCATTGTTCTATGAAAGCTGGTTGCGTAACAATTATTTAGCGTTCTCGTTCGCGTCAGTTTAAAACCGATTCGAATGGATTATCCATTATCATTCTTACGCAATTTAACGACAGACGTTGGCAATTTATTTCGCGGCACAGATATAGCAAGTCGATGACGAAAGAGTTAATGATTAATTTTCTAAACGCTATTACCCGGGAGAAAGTTTTGCAGTGGTCCGCGCTGGCAAAGTGACATTTTAGAAACGGTGAAGAACGTTACAACAGGAAAAAGCTTTCGATGGGAAAGAGAAAAGTGGAAAATCGACTCACCTTTTGCCACTCAGAGTACATTTTGTCACAGTGTTAGAACCGTCGATGAGAATGAGCTACCCTCATTTTGCACGGGCAGGCCTCGATGTTTGTCTCCGCTTCCTGCAAAACAGTTGAGCCTTTCGTTAATTCAATAGCCAAGCGATCAAATACATTAACACGTTCAGCACCGCATTGGTCACAAACGAACGACACTGATTTTTCACTAATTTTCAAATTCCATTTTTACCGCAATATATTCGAACAAATTGAATCTTACTAGGATCTCTAGAATGTAAAAGAGTGAAAATACCATCCACTGTGATCGATTTTACCTCAGTTTCAATTTCATTGATTGAATGAATTTGATTTCGTGGGAACTTTTGCGATTGATTGGAAGATGTGGATTAATGAATTCGAAACTATGTATATTTTGGTATCTGTATAACTCGTTTTGCAAATCACTGATTAGATTGTTAGAATTGAAGGGATTTTTTACTTCCATGATTATATATATATATATGTTAGGATTGTCAACAGAAATTATATAGAAGTTTTCTTTCTCAAATTTTTAAGTTTTTTTTATTGCGAGAAGAACAACGTAGATACTATAGGATTGCATTGAAAGTGCAATGGTTATTTCAAGGTTATGTCATGGTCATGTTTATACTTGATTTTTCTGTCATTAATAACAGTTTCAGTGATTATTTGAGTTGTTTTTGCTTTGACCTCTAAGTAGATTAATTATGATTTCCAAGGGAAGTGGCAGCAATTTCTGTTTAAAATTCGGAAAAAGAATATCGAATTCTTTGATAATTTTCTCTATTCTGACACTGAGGGGAACACGACGTTTTTGTAGCAGAATTTTTTAACGTATTTATCAAAAATAATTTTGTCAATTGGATTATCAGGGTTAGTTGCCAATTTTTCAGAGATTGAGCTGTTTTACCTGTTCCATAAATTATTGAATTGATATTGCTATCACACAAGCTGATACAACATCAAATAAATTAAAATAAAAAGAAAAATTCTAAACTAATTCGGAGCGATAGAGGACATTCAACTGTTCATTTATACTGCGGCTCGAGCCTACATTCGATTAACACCTGCAGTAACTGTTGCAGTTGTTCGATAAAAAATCATGACTTTCAGCAGATCGAATGAAACTCGAGTTTTGTACCGTTCTTTCTAATTAGATTTTCAAGTCCTAATGCGCTTGCTTATAACATGTACATCTTACAGCACTTTAATGAGCTAAAACCACACGCCGTCGATATATCAACTGGATACAAATAAATCTAATTAGCTTCGATATTGTTCAGCAACTGAGCCTTATCTAAAATCTCTCTCGGACTGTCGAAGCGTTTAAAACGAGCAATCTACAATTACATAGAAAAAAGATCGGAATTTATAATCCGTTGTTGAATTATTTTCGAATTAATTCTCTAATTACTTTCAAAAACGTATTTCTCGAACTACGAAATGAACGTATAAATGGTAATTGTCGGTGTTTGCTGCCATCGAGGAATTTAAGATTCGCGAAAGAGAGGATCGCGTCGCAGGTTTGTCACGCCACTGAAAATCTCGGCAACTTCAAAAATCCGCATTCCAGGTGCTTGAATTCGCCTGAAGGCCGGCTAGCCTTGACCAAGACGGATCACGTCGATCCTTCTCGACGGGCGAACACATTCTCATACAGCGACAGACAGGTTTTTCTACGAAGATCTACGTTTGAACTTTACCTAGGGAAGCGTCCCGCCGATGCGTGGGTAACGCTGATGCCGGAAGACGAATGATAATCAGACGGTGCACGTTACTTCCGGTTAGCGAATTAGTCTTCCCGATCACGATGCTTGCGAAGATCGTGATCGCCGGCTCGATCGTTCACGATTCGATCCGCGAGAGTATCTTGTATGGTCATCGGAGTGATTATCGCAGCTGTGCCAATTCTATTACGAGAACGTGAAAGAAATGGTGGATTTCATAATGTCCGATTCACGTTATCATATTTTCACACTGTAACGTAATTGTCTAATGAACGGCAAAGTAAATGATAAGTCAGTCGATCGAACAGTGAATGTGAAGCTTTAAAAGATCACGTTGTTAGAAAAACGACGAAGTAATTAAGTTGATTTGATGCACTTAACGCGTCTCGATTGCGAGATGCCAGGATCTAACGCTCGTTAATAAGAACGAAAAAATTCATTTTGTATTTGTACAGTTAGCAAATTTAAATCTCGCGATGGGAATAGTCAACGACTACGAGTTATGCGAGGCAATACGAATGCTGTTCGAATACATCAATCATTGCATTTGCAAACAGTATTGGATAGAACTGTCAATGAACGTACGAATCATGTTTCACGTGACGAATGATATTTGAACATGAATGACCCAGATTAATTCATACGCAGCCGTTACATCGTGCAAAAACGTGTTACAAGAAAATGAACGATGAACTTTTAAAACAGAGAACTTAATGCTTCCAAACGAGTTTTACTGTTGCGCTACTCTCATTACGAAATTATAACAGTTCTAATGTCGACAATTTCAGAGCAATCAGGATGATGTGCTAACATTAAATAATTGGTTCTGAAATACGAGTATAAAAAATGAAAGAATATATATTTATTAAGAGAGATAGAGAAAGAGAGAGAAAGAGAGGGGGGGAAGAAAAAAAGTGGAAAATGGTTCGCGGTTTTCTCGACGGGTTTGGAAAGCGATCGGCTATTGAAATCGACTGGTTCGCGTTCCTGGGATACCGGAACTGTCGCAAGAAGCGATCTCGCGGTACGAAGGATCAAAGAACAGCGTCCGTTTCTCTCTCACCGATCGCGAACGATCCGCCAACGTTTCAGACGCTCGTTGTTGCCGGAGAGAAAGTGGGAGAAATGTTTAACCCGCGATGCGTAAAATTTTTATACTGCCAGAATATTTCTGCTGCTCTGGCTTTCTGTCTGTTCTACGGTTTCGCGTTTTCTTCGATTTTTGTTCACCCGTTCCACCATTTCTGTTCAAATTTCGTCATTTTTTGTTTAATCCTTGTCATTTTTATTCAATCTTTCTTCATAAATCTTCGATATTCCCTTTCAATATTTGTAATTTTTCTTTAATCTTTATTCAAAAATCTTCGACGTTCTTTTGTAATATTCGTAATTTTTATATAATCTTCGTTTTCTTTTTGTACAATCTTCGTGATTTTTGTTTGATCTTCGTTCTTAGATCTCTTAAAGTTTTGACAGTTGACTAGAATATGTTTGTAATATCCATTTTTCTCATAAACGCATAAATATCCTCAGTCTACATATAATATAAGAACCATTTAAAAACGCACCACATGTAATAAGTTCGAATGTAGGTTATGATAAAGTTCCGGAACTTGATCGAGCCCAGATTGAAATTATTAGTGCAACTTGTGAAAGCCTGTTGACGAAAGATCGTTCCAAAACCAAGCAGTGTGATCGATTAAAGAAAACGATTCGTCGATCTCAAGCAGAGCGAATATTTCAGACTGGCGAACGATAAATCGTTCTAAACACGGACACGTTGTTGCCAAATCAATAATTGCTATATCATTGGATCCGAAGTCACGCACAGAGCTGAGCAAAATAGTATTTTAAACGGCGAATAGTAAATAGATATTCTATTTTAGGTCATGCGTGTATTTTTAAAAATGAAATGTTTAATTTCTTCGTAAGAATGAACTTTTAAAAATAAAATGTATCATTTGCTCGAAAGAATGTCCTTTTACGTATAAAATATATATTCATTCGTTGTAAAAAGATTTTAACCTTGACATAACATTTCAAATTTCCATTTGAAAAACACTGAAAATATTTGTGCTAT